CGACCCCATGTGCTCCTACCCGATCCAGGAAACCTAGAATACTGTCGGTCCCTGTGCCCATCCTGTTCGTACCCATTTCGATCGTCCCATCCCTTTAGCAGGAACCGACCGCCCCTGCATTCTTAGAGGCCTACAACGGCATGTTCTTAGAACCCAGCCATGTTCTGACGACAAGACACAGTGCTCTTAGAGTACAATCCCGATGTATCAAAACGAGACGGCCTCAGCTAGAAACGTTCTTAGAACATTTCGTGCAAGCCACAAAAGGTTCTTATAACGTCCTTTGGTGGGACTTCTATAGACAAGCCAGGGCGCCTCGCCACTGCTTGACTGTACCCATCCTTCTCGTACCCACCCTGAGATCCGACGCAGCGACAAAAATGCAACATCGTAAAAACACACACCTAGAGTCCTAGACCCCGGTCCGAAATTATGCGAAAACGCCCGGCTCAAAAAAAACTGAGTCGCCAGGATCTCAGGGCATTTCGCTCGTCCCGTCCCGAGGCCTTCAGGACTCCGCACGCAGCCAGGGCCGACCCACACCCGAGAAGAGCCCTATGGGCCCGAAATTATGCGAAAACGCCCGGCTCAAAAAAAAACTGAGTCGCCAGGATCTCAGGGCATTTCGCTCGTCCCGTCGCGAGCGTGTTTTTCCAAACCCTCCTGCGTTGGGTTCTCGTTTCGAATAAAGCACTGCTCGCGCGTCTCCTTCCCACCCCCTCCCGTCCCTCTCTCCCCCCCTGCCTTTTACCCCGCTCGTCCTCGCGGACTCAAATTAGACCTCGCCATCCCAGGAGGGGCTGCGATCTGTGAAACTGTCGCCACTTTCGAGGCCTGCTGGGGGGCCCAGCACAGTGGGTCCTCACCGCGGATTCAAATTAGACCTCGCCATCCTTGGGGTGCTGCGATCTGTGAAACGGTCGCCACTTTCGAAGCCTGCTGGGGGGCCCAGCACACTGGGTACTCACCGCGGACTCAAATTAGACCTCGCCACCCGTGGGGGGGCTGCGATCTGTAAAACTGTCGCCACTTGCGAAGCCTGCTGGGGGGCCCAGCACAGTGGGTACTCACCGCTGACTCAAATTAGACCTCGCCACCCCTGGGGGGGCTGCGATCTGTGAAACTGTCGCCACTTGCGAAGCCTGCTGGGGGGCCCAGCGCACTGGGTACTCACCGCGGACTCAAATTAGACCTCGCCATCCCTGGGGGGCTGCGATCTGTGAAACTGTCGCCACTTTCGAGGCCTGCTGGGGGCCCAGCACAGTGGGTACTCACCGCGGACTCAAATTAGACCTCGCCATCCCTGGGGGGCTGCGATCAGTGAAACTGTCGCCGCGTTCGAGGCTTGCTGGGGGGCCCAGCACAGTAGGTCTTCACCGCGGATTCAAATTAGACCTCGCCATCCCTGGGGGGCTGCGATCTGTGAAACTGTCGCCACTTTCGAGGCCTGCTGGGGGGCCCAGCGCAGTGGGTACCACCGCGACTCAAATTAGACCTCGCCATCCCTGGGGGGCTGCGATCTGTGAAACTGTCGCCACTTTCGAGGCCTGCTGGGGGGCCCAGCACAGTGGGTACCCACCGCAGACTCAAATTAGACCTCGCCATCCCTGGGGGGCTGCGATCTGTGAAACTGCCGCCACGTTCGAAGCCTGCTGGGGGACCCAGCACAGTGGGTCCTCACCGCGGACCCAAATTAGACCTCGCCACCCCTGGGGGGGCTGCGATCTGTGAAACTGTCGCCACTTTCGAAGCCTGCTGGGGGGCCCAGCGCACTGGGTACCCACCGCTGACTCACACTAGACCTCGCCATCCCTGGGGGGGCTGCGATCCGTGAAATGTGGCCAGTTTCGAAGCCTGCTGGGGGGCCCAGCACAGTGGGTACTCACCGCGGACCCAAATTCGACCTCGCCATCCCTGGGGGGCTGCGATCTGTGAAACTGTCGCCACTTTCGAGGGCTGCTGAGGGGCACAGCACAGGCACAGCACAGTGGGTACCCACCGCAGACTCAAATTAGACCTCGCCATCCCTGGGGGGGCTGCGATCTGTGAAACTGTCGCCACTTTCCAGGCCTGCTGAGGGGCACAGCACAGTGGGTACCCACCGCAGACTCAAATTCGACCTCGCCATCCCTGGGGGGCTGCGATCTGTGAAACTCTCGCCACTTTCGAGGGCTGCTGAGGGGCACAGCACAGCGGGTACCCACCGCAGATTCAAATTAGACCTCGCCATCCCTGGGGGGCTGCGATCTGTGAAACTGTCGCCACTTTCGAGGGCTGCTGATGGGGCACGGCACAGTGGGTACCCACCGCAGACTCAAATTCGACCTCGCCATCCCTGGGGGGCTGCGATCTGTGAAACTGTCGCCACTTTCGAGGCCTGCTGGGGGGCCCAGCACAGTGGGTACCCACCGCAGACTCAAATGAGACGCCGCTTTCGTCCTTGTTCTCCTTATGCAGTCACCTTCCCTCTGCTGCTGCCGTGCTGATGGTTCGGCTTCCCGCACGTTTTTCTCCTGCTCTGCGTTCCCGACTCCCCATGTCCTGTTCGAGCCTGTAGCTGTCGCCCCTCGTTCTTGTATGGTTCTCCTGCGCATCATGCCATAGGCGCGTGTCCCAAGTAGCTTACACACACCAAGTTGATTGTCCATGCAAGTTTCGGCCAATTCCTTGTTTCCATTGATACAAATGGGTTGGATACGTCACAAGGTATTTTTTATTCTGCGTTTCGACATTTGGCGGCAAGAGGGGGGAGGACAAGGGTCTGCCTCCAGACCTCTGCTCAGTGCGACTGTTTGCAAGAGTGCGGCCTCTGGGGGAGACTGCACCCGCTCGAAACAGGCGCCAAAAAACAGCCAAGATCTACACGTTGTTCATTTCTAATCGTGGTCATTTCTAACTGTGCTCGTTTCTAATTGTTCCTGGCCCCCTGGCGGCCAGGAAGAGGCCCAGGATGGAAGAATTAAGCATGAAAGGATCTTGGCCCCCCCAAAAAAACCAAGAACTCTCGAATACTCGAACACTTAGAAGTGAACAGTGAGTACTCCAGGGGGGGGGCTACGAGGGCCCGCGCCGATCGGCAAGACCAGGACTAACATGAAGGGGCCCTGGGACACACAAATAAATACAAACAAATAACAGGATTCCCCATATTTTCCCATATTTTCTGTGTTTTTGTCGTCCCCCCCACTTCCCATAGTTTCCCATATTTTCCTGGGGATCGACGATTCATTGTGTCTGTGTGTTTTTCCCCTCCTGATAACACAACGATCACCTGCAGGACCCTGCGCACAGCCGGGGCCCACCCCCGCCCGAGCAGCCCCCCCCCCCCCGAGGCAGCCCGCCGGGCATCCCCCCCCCCCAGCGAGCGCGGCGGGCAGGCGGGGCCGCCGCGGGCACCCCGCCGAGCACCCCGGGGGCCCCCCTCGAGGGGCGGATCTTTCTCGCCAGCGTTGACTTCCGGCGATAGTTAAAACGACGCGAAGATCGGGACAAAATCGGATCGGGATAACTCGAGATCTCTGAGAGTCGGCGGGTTTAGAGGATGTATTGGGCGCCGCGGCCGCTCCAGAGCGTTCCGGAACGCTCTGAGAGCGCTCCGGAACGCTCTGGAGCGATTTATCCCGATTCTAGCCGTGTCTTAATAGTCCAAGACATGATCGCGTCGTGAGCAAAAAAATCCGGACAGGGGTTTTCCGCCGTGTTCGGCCCCTGGGGACCCTCGCCGGGCCCCAGGACCGCCAACAAAAACGAGTCAGGATGACAAGCCGGCCCCAGGGAAAGGGTCGGGACTTCCGGGGACGCCGTCCTGAAAAAAGCAGGACGTCGCATGTCTGGGATGGGCATTATAAGGGGGGGGGGGGGGCAGGGGGGGGGTATAATGTAACGCCTCCCCCCCGCCGTGCGCACGGCGGCGGTGCCCGCAGTGCACGCGTTACGTTATAGGGGGGAGGGGGGAGGGAGGGCCGGGGGCTGTAATGCCCACTATGCCCCAAGCAATAAGGAAACACGCTCCTCGATGGGCGGATCCGGCCAGGCCCGAGGCCCGATCTTTTTTAGCGGGCGAGAAATGGTATGAAAGAAACTTCTCCGCCGCCGGGGGCGCTGCTCCAGGGCGGCTGGACAGCTTACACCTTGACGTGCCACCGTTAGGGTATCAACTTTCCAGCCGCCCTGGGGCAGGCGCCCCCGACAGCGAACTAAACTTATACTGCTCTTCGCCCCTGAACTTTTAGCCGCCCCGATGCGCAGCACGCAAGCCGCAGCGTGTCGACGCGGAGCTCAACATGTAGGTTGACCACGTACGTTTGGCGCGGTACGTCCGCCACGACGTGGGCCAACACGTGGAGCCAGCACGCAGCGTGACGACACGGACGCTTTGAGCACGGCACGTGTTGCGTTTCAAAACGTGCGCATCAGGGCAGCGAAGGGCCCGATCGAGCCCGCATTAAGACGAAGCAAGGACGAGGAGAAAATCGGGTGAGGATATAACTAGTTGAGAATCGCCGAGATCCGGCGGGTCTGGAGGATGTCTCGGGCGCCGCGGCCTTCTCTGAGCGTTCCAAAACACTCTGGAACGGTTTTATCCTCGTCCAAGCCCCGCACAACGATCGAGTCCACATGGCGGGTTCCAGAAACCCTGAACCGCCCCCCCAAAAAACATGTCATCTCTTGGGGGTGCATGTTTTACTTCCGCCAGCTTCCGCTGGCCTTCCGCCGAGGAAGAGATGACAGCTCCCTCGATCTTCGAAGGCGAGGACATTTCTGGAACACCCGTACGGTCGCCTGATCAGTCGATTGCCGAGCCGCTGGCCGTTTCGCGCCTCGGGATGAACTTGAACCCTGGCGGCGGTATCATGAGCCGGTGTGCACCTGGCTCGCGGCACTGCGGGCCCAGAGTGCTCGCACGGAGCCCCACGCTGTTTTCCTGACTGTGTGTCCACAGCTCGCACGATGGACAGCCGAAGAGGGCGGTGCATGGCGCTGAAGATCTTGTGCCGAGCAGGTTCAGCTGACCTGCTGGCCGAAGCTGCAGCGGGCTGGGGGCTGCCTGCTGCAGCCTGACACTGCAGCAGGCGATCCCCCACCACCACGACGAGATGCTCGAACTGACCGGCCCAACAGAGGCCGACAGAGACGCGAAAATCGGCGACCTCCGCATCGAGTACGGCCAGGTCATGGACTACGTGGAAGGGGCCCTCAACAGCTACCGCGGGTCCCACGAGCTGCGGGACGCGCACCCTTTCTGTATGAACCAGCGACAAAGGGACTTTGCAAACTATGCAAATCATCGCTTGGCTAACCTGCTGACCTACCCCAAGAGTCGCAGGCACGACGACATGCATGACCAAGCAGTGGTGCTGCAACATGAGAGAGACATCCTTACGGGCATCAAGGTCTCAATACGACACAAACGTGCACGCCGACACCATCCCTCGTCACCGACCTACAGATGGAGATCGCAATCGAGGCAAATGGTCAAGATGTCCGGGCACATCACCAACCAAGCCCCTTTGCCAGAGAAAGAGGCACATAATCACCAGAACCAACAGCCGACACCAGACCCACCGACTTTATACGACCTACTGCCGCATACCGACCCTGACATCGGGACCGCACCACAACAACTCGGACACCTTGACCAACAGTCATCGATTTCAGAACTGAATGCAGTTGAGCAGAACAACAAGGCCAGCTTGCTGCAACGCAAATCGACCACGGCCCCGACGGGCAGCACGGCAGCTAACAGCACCGCCGACCACCAAGTACCACACCAGACGCAGCAACACGTCATCGGCGATACCAGCATGGCTGCAGCGATCGCAAGCAATATGATCACGGACCAAAACACCGAAAAGGACGTTCTCTACCCTGGTGAAAGCTAGCCGGCGACGACACCGCCCTCAGACGGACACCGCAGTATCATCCAGAAGGGCGACCAGCAGGAGACGGACAAAGACGCTCTCCCTCTTTACGGGCCCGACCCGTGGAAACCAAGGACGACCACGACACCGCCCTCAGGTAGACACTACAGCTACAGCATCATCCACCAGGGCGACCCGCAACAGATGAACCAAAAGGCCCTCCCCCTCTACGGGCCCGACCCGTGGAAACCATGGTCGACATACGCAGACGCCGTCAAAGCTGACCAGCCTGACCAACACGACCAACCTACGGCGAATCAGGAGACTTCCCCTGATCGCCCACAACACGAGGCAATCCTCGCAATCGGACTGGCCTAACAGCGGCTGATCAGTGCGCTTTCCACACAATACATTTGCTTTATGCTGACAGCACCGCCTGCTGCTACATACCTACTCCCACCTCTACACTGTCTTTGAACCGACATGTACGCACCCACCATAAAGACGGAAGCAGCACAGCTGATGGTATTGAAGTCTACCTTATCTGGGCATATCTACAGCGTCGTACGGCAACGCTCTACAGCGCGAACATTAGTGGGGCTGGCAGCATATCGTGGACATCAGTGGCGACTGCGATCACTCTGATTCATTCGATTGTACGTGAGCCACAGGTCCTTACCAACCTCCAACCTTTCCCTCCGCCTGGCTCTTCTGCTCGCAGCCCCACCTCCTCACACCGTACCCAGCTGACCTTCTCTTCACCCCCCCTCTTGGGGAGGGGTCTGGGTCGGATAGGGGAGGGAGAGGGCTCGGACTCACTGCGGGCCGTGCTGGCAAGGGCCAGGGCGGCCGCGGCCGCGACTCGCCACGTGGCAGCGGCCATCAGGGCACCCACCTTGGCAGCTGCGGTCACCAACGGGACCATCAGGAGCAGCAGCTGCGGCCATCAGGGCACCTCCACCCCCACCTCAGCAGCTGCGGCCATCAGGGCACCTCCAGAGTCTGCTCACGGCAGCTGCGGCCGCCGACCGCCTGCTAAGCACAGCAAGCCACACAGCCGCGCCGCCGCCACAGATGGCAGAAACCACTCCCACGCACGGTGGACCCCCCCCCCCAGCAGCCACCACTCCCACGATCTGGGTGCTCTACTCCTGCCTCGGCGAGGGAGGGTACCAGTCATGGGGATGGTGGCTGCTTACGGGGTCCTCCTGTGTGCAGGGGATGGGGCCTTTATGCCATCTACCTTGGCGAGAGTGGCCGGCGCTGCATCGCGCCACCACTGCGAGCAGCACCCCACAGTGGGCCCCGCGGAAGAACCTCCGCGTTCGCTACTAAGCTTTAAACATCCACCGCCACTTCTGCCGCTTTGTCATCCACACCTACCCCTGCCTGCTTTTCGCACGCCCTTTTAACTCACCACCTCCATGCCGTCACTTCTGCCCACATGTCCATTTCTCACCCTTCCGCAGCACCTCACCTCCTCCCCCCCAATCCTCTGACAAACAGGGCACCGCTACGGGGGTGGACCCTGGGCACCCTCTAGGGCGGTGGCCTACATGGCCACACGACCCGAAAGAGGGGGGACCCACAAAAGGCCTACTCGGGGCCCAACCCGTGCACCCGCCGCCCCACTGCCGCCACGCTGCCACCTTGTCTCTCCCCTTTCCCGCCTTCCGTGATTCTGAGATGATGCTAATGTCATGTACCCTCCTCTGGCCATCGCTCGGACGTCCATTCCCTGTGTTTTTGTTCGGTTTCGTTCGTGGCCTTCTCGCCAAATGATCAAGGATGCTCCTCGATGGTCCTCGCCGAAGGCAAACTGCACACGTCCGAGCGATGCCAAGTCCTTCTACCCTCCCTCCTGCCATGCGGGACCTCGGCCCCTGATGTTGTGTCCTGGTCTACTCCCCCAGGGGGGCCCGACCGGGCTTCCCTGGGGGAGGCGGCAGCGTGCGGAGAACTCCGCTGCCGTCACTGCCTCACTGCCTCAGGAGGAGGGCCTCCCCATCCTCCCTTCTCCCCCCTCCTACCTTGAAGTCAGGACTGTCCCCCTACAGGGGGATTTTGCACGACCAAATTAAACATATACACCAAACATACCCCAAGATGGCCAAAACATATTTTAAAATCGTCCCCAGACTACTCTTTGACTATCTGTGGATATCCCCCCTGCAGAGGGACAGGCCCGACTTAATCCTACCTGTGGTAGCGGTGGTGGACAATGTAAAAGAAAAATAACCATGCACATACACCGATTTTGGCCAGGTCCGTCCTGAGCCCAAGATCGGTGCATACGCCCTCCTGCCTTGGCCAGGAAGGCATATGCACCGATCCTGGGGCCAAGGATGGGCCTTGCCAGGATCGGTGCATGTGCATAGTTCTCTTCGCCCGACAATGGGCCCATCACAAGTTTCTGCGCCAGAAGCCTCCCGTTTTGAAGGCCACGGCGGGCCGCTGGCAGGCACCCCGTCGGTCGGCGCTGCGGGCGCGGAGCTGGCGCCCGCTTCTCCGGCGCTGTCGGGGCGAGGCTCCCGCGGGCCAGGCAAGCAGCGAGTGCCCCTTCGAAGTGCGCTCGGCCACCCCCGAACTCTCGGGGCGAAAGGGCCGAGGTGGAGGAGGATGAGTCAGCGGAGGAGGAGGAGGAGGAGGAGGAGGAGGAGGAGGAGGAGGAGGACGAGGAGGAGGAGGAGGACGAGGAGGAGGAGGAGGAGAACGAGGAGGAGGAGGTGGAGGAGGAGGAGGTGGAGGAGGAGGGCGAGGAGGAGGTGGAGGAGGAGGAGGAGGAGCAGGAGCAGGAGGAGGAGGAGGACGAGGACGAGGAGGATAAGCAGCAGCAGGAGCTCGCTTCGCGACGAGGCCGCGGCAGGGAACGCGCGCCTCGGCCCGTCCATCCGTTGGCGCGGCGCGGGCCGGTGCGGGCAGTCTGTGCCACGGCCGGACCCAGGGCAGAAGTGCAGCCCTCAGGAAGAGGAGGCCAAGATGATGTGGTTCCCATCCCACTTCAGGACGACATCCCAGAAATAGCTTCGAGCACCCAGGAAAAGTGTCAAAAAAGTGTCGAAAGAGTGTCGAAACAGTGTCGGGCGAGTTTCTCCCAGGGCCCGACACGTGAAAACCCTTGAGTTTCCGTACTTTTCCTGGCGCTCGAAATTCTTTCTGGTGGTCAAGGATAAAGTAGGTTGGAGCATCATCAGGCTAGGAGGCAACTGCTGGGAGGTCTTCGTCGGAAAGATTCAGGGGGATTAAGCCCCATTGCGGGGCTGTTATGCCAGAGTGGGCTTCGGATTAGGCGGGATTAAGCCGGATTGAGCGGGATTAAATGGGTTCAGGCGAGTTGAAGCCGGATTAGGCCGGACTTCGGACCAGGGCAAAATCAGAATTTGACCTCCCAGGAGTTGCATCCGAAAGGAGGCTCTTCCCCGACCCAGGCTGGAGCACACTCGAAGGGTCCCTCCCTCGGGCAGGAGAGCCCAGAATCGAATCGACGAGTCGGCTCGGCGGTCGACGTGAATCGGATCGGCGCAGATCGGCAGCCAAGCCGGGAAGAGTCGGATCGGCGGACATCGGCAGGCTGGTATTCCTCCCCTGAGAAATCGGAACCCAAATCGGGATCCCAAGTCGAATCAAATCGGAATCGGAAGCCATCGAAGTCGAATCGAATCGAATCGGAGGAATCGGAGGAGAAGAAAGTCGAATCGAATTGGACTGGTGGCCTTCTTCTCCTCAGTCGTGTCCTCCTCCTCCTCCTCCTCCTGTTCCTCCTCCTCCTCCTCCTCCTCCTCCTCCTCCTCCTCCTCCTCCTCCTCCTCCTCCTCCTCCTCCTCCTCCTCCTCTCCTCCTCCTCCTCCTCCTCCTCCTCCTCCTCCTCCTCCTCCTCCTCCTCCTCCTCCTCCTCCTCCTCCTCCTCCTCCTCCTCCTCCTCCTCCTCCTCCTCCCCTGTCGCCGAGAGCACCCTCGCGCACGCTGCCCGTGCCGCTGGATCCGGCGTACCCGCCAGCGTACCTGGAGGGCAACCCCAAATGGTGCTGGAGCGTGCGTTCGGAGGCTGCCAGGCGCTGAGATCCGGGCGTCACAACTGTGTTCACACCAGGCGTTCTCGCCAGGCTTCGGGCCCTGCAGGGCCTCACGGACGGATCTGGCTCGAGGACCGCCGCAGAAAGATTGGGCCTGAGGCTACTGTCGCGATTCTTTTGCACATGTCTCTTGTTTTCTCGCGACGTCGGATCTCAGGGACGGTAGCCCCAGCTTTTCGCACTATCTTGGACTTCCGTGGGCGCTCTGGGCCTTGTGAGAGATGCTCTGGGGGCCAGGGGGCCTCCCTGAAAGTCCTGAGGACAGCTGGGGCCAGGGACACTTCTTGCAACACCCGACACACGCTGGCCTCCAGATCGCATCATCGATGCACTCCAGACCTCCAACGCATTGAAAAACTCAACACGGATGAGTTTCGCCACCTTCTGCCTCTGCACGAGGGCCCTCACCTTGCCTTGAAACGACTGAGGGTGAAAAGTCAGAGAGGGTCGGGACGTCCGCTGACCCTCTACTCAAAAATTCAAGACGTCGGAGGTCGGCGATGCATCGTCGATGATGTATTTGCCATGGCGGCATGGAGAAACTGGGCCGCCAGATCGCTCCCAAGACATCTCGCGACAAGCCTTTCGACTTCTTCACCAAGGTCAACGTTTCATCCCGAGTTACTCTTGACGGTGAAGGGATCGAATCTGGCCGCCGGAGGCCAAAAACCAGCACAAACCGACCACACCACTTCTTTGTTCTGAGGGTCATGTGTCGGGGTCCGCATCTCCATTGCATCGGCGGTGCGGCGCGACCACCCCAGACACTCGACGATGCGATTTGTTCAAAACCCGACCCCGTCCCCGGTGGTCGCAGTCCGTCCAAGATCCACGCTTGATGGCCACGGGGCCCAACAACAGGCCCGGAGGCCGAAACAGGGGAGAACGCTGGAGACCTGGGCACACGGACGTACGAGCGACGAGCATCTCTCTGCATGCGTGCCCTCGCGGTCCGGACACCGAGTGGCGTTCCCACGGATACCCTATGCCAGAAATACGTCTCGCGCAGAACATCCGTGCAAAGCCGCCCCGCGTCGCGGCCCGGGAGTCCAGACCGCGAAGCCCCGGCCACGGACACTGGGGGAGCGACAACCATGTCAACGACACGCCAGGCTAGGGGACGCATCCGCGGGCTGAATCAGCAGCAGGTCACCGCACAAAGACGAGGGCGCAACACGCCGTCGAGCTCCCAGCGGCAGCATGTCATTGATGCTCTGTTCCCCTTCCCGAGGCACGGCCAGCAGCTTTTGCTTAGCGTGTCGCGGCGGCGGCCCCCGCGAAACGCTGCGCGCTGCGAGTGGACAGCGTGCCGCTCCGCTCCGCGCGGGCGGGAGGTGGAGCCGAAAGGCTCAGGACGTTGACGCCTGGGCGCTGGGACGTGGGCGGCGTGTCGTGCCGAAGCGTGGTGGGCCAAAACAGGTGGCGCGACACGCGAAGCCAACGTTCCCCACCGTACGGCTCTCGTGCGGCCCCGTTCAGGAGGCCCGGGGTGCCCGCCATACCCGCCAGCATAGCCGCCGGCGCGGCCGCTCATGGCTGCTGGGCTGGGAGTGCGAGCGGCCCGCCCTCCACCGCCGCTCAAGGAAAAGAGCCCTCCTCAACGCCCGTGCTCCCCAGACCTCCTCCTCCTCCTCCTCCTCCTACATTTCCTCCTCCTCCTCCATTTTCTCCTCCTCCCCCTCCTCCTGTTCATTTGCCTCCTTCTCCTCCTCCTCCGTCTCCTCTTCCTCCTCCTCCTCCTCCAATTTCCGCCCACTCCTCCGGCTCCTCCAACTCCTCCTCCTCCTCCTCCTGCTCCTCCTCCTCCTCCTCCTCCTCCTCCTCGTCCTCCTCGTCCTCCTCTTTTTTGACGCTAAGCAAACTTAAGGTGAAAACCTATGGGGTTCTTGATTGTTTAACAAATCGTATATATACATATAGATACACCTATATGTATGCGTACGCGACTCGGCTCCCAATGTGCCTGGCGGGCGCCGCGGAACATTAAGGAAACTAAGGCCGTGACGAGAATAAAGGAGTAGGCGCCAGCCGGGTACTAGATTTCGGCACGAAGCTCAATATGATAAGCCCCACACTCCCCACAACCAAGACAAACAAGAGGCCTTCAAGTTTCAGTGGTTGCGCCGCTTCGGTAGGTAAGATGCAAGCAGAAGTAACACGTGCGAAGCAGCCACACAAGTGGATAGCTGCGAAACTGAGATGTCGCAGTCCCAGGGCTGCTACCCGAGGCTTGTGGTTGACCCCAAGCCGTAGGACCATCGCTCCCAAATCCCCAGCACTGAGCTACAGTCGGGGAGTTGACATAAGGAACCCTAAATAAGGAACGAGGCCCCGTTTTCCATAAGTTAAACTTCGGTTTCCGATCGAAAACATAAGGAAAACCTAAGGCAAGCTGTGAAGCAATCAAGGAACACGGAGCCCCTCCCCAACGAAAAGGGTCCCTTCTTAAGGCCCCCGACTGTACCTCCACCTCTAAACTCCCACCGCCAGTCCCCAAGGTCAGAGTAAGGCAGGCGGTACGCAGTGGCCGGCCCTGAGGGCTGGCCCGGCACCGCCCGTGATACAGGTCAGCACGGGTGACTCGACAGCTAAAAGCTGCAGGGCATCTACGATGCGATGTAACAAACTCCGGATTCCATAACAAAGTGGGGGGGGTCACCTTCGGGGGGGGTCTAATTTGAGCTGTCTTGGAGGATTCGGGGGGGTCTGGGCAAAGGGCCGCCATTTCATGGATAGTCTGGGGGGTCTAAAACTTCTCGTCTGGGAGGGTTGTGACCCCCTCCCTTTTATTATGAAATCTGATGTACTTGGCATTGCGATCCTCAAGATGTAGGCTGGCACGGTGTTGGCTGTGACGAAACACCGGCGCCTGCGGCGGGCTCGTTGCATGATCTGTAACAGTTAGGCGCCTGCGGCGGGCTGCTCTTCAGAGCCTCGCAGACTGCAGACGCCCCCGCCGCCCCCTCACTCTCATTCACGACTACGGGGTGCTACATAAACAACAAAAACGCTCCAGACGGCCCCTGGAAAAAGGCCACTGGGAAACCTCGAGCGGCCGCGGCGCACGCGCGATGGACAAGCGCGTCCCGCTGCTCGCAGAGCAACTGCTCTCGCAAATGGCCCGGATCCGCCAAGGGGGGGGGTCACACTGTTGACTGCATCGGGGCGAGCAGCTGTTGTTCTGTTCGGACGTTTGCGAGTGGGCACTCTGAGAGCAGTGGAGCGCGGTGAGGCGGTGCTGGTTAACGGCGATGTTGGGAGTGCGGTGTTTGCGACGCCGAGTTTGCGCAGAACACACTACAGAAAAGCACGAGCAAGCCTTCCTACAGTGGGGGTGGCTACGAACCCTCCCCACCTACAACATCGAAACCTACGGCAGGTTCGTATCGTGCCAACGTCGACGTTGGTTCCTGGCACCGCGGAGATCATTCAGCCTTGAACGATCGGCCGCTTCCGAAACGACTGATCGCTCAACATCGACCGACTCTGGGCTGCCGGCGGCGTTCAATCGTTGAACGCCGGTGGCGGGGTCGCGGCCGGTCGACACGACGCGAACCAACCGTACCTCGCCGCTACCTGCATCGCCTTTAGCGTGTCTGCGGTTATGTCGGGCGTGTCCCCCTACAGGGGGATGTTCGACGAAAAATAAAACATACCCCAAAAATACCCCAAAAAGGTCAAACAAATACTCCAAAAATAGTCCCCAGACAATTTGTGGATGTCTTTTTATTATGTTCTGGGGCATTTTTCTTACTTTGCATCGAAACTCCCCCTGTAGGGGGACAGGCCCGACTTGAGTCTACGGGCACAGCCCGCGCCCCCCCACCCCCACCCCACCCCTGGCCGTCGCTCGGACGTCCACTCCCTGTGATTTTTGGTCGGTTGCGTGCGCGGCTTTTTCGCCAAATGATCAAGGATGCTCCTCGATGGTCCTCGCCGAAGGAAAAATGCACACGTCCGAGCGATGCCAAGCCCCGAGAGCGCTCGGGGAGGAGCCGCAGAGGAGCGCGCCACCAGCTCGTGCGCCCGCGGAGCGCGCGGGGCACGCGTGGGGCGGCGGGGCGCGAGGGCGCGCTGGAGCCCGCGGGGCTGGAAAGGGGGGCGAGCCTCGGAGGAGGAGGGGGGGCGGGAGCGCGGGAGGGGAGGGAATTGGAGGAGGAGGAGGAGGAGGAGGAGGAGGAGGAGGAGGAGGAGGAGGAGGAGGAGGGGGAGGAGGAGGAGGAACCAGGAACCAGGAACCAGGAACCAGGAACCAGGAGGAAGAGTAGGAAGAGGAGGAGGAGGAGGAGGAGGAGAAGGAGGAGAAGGAGGAAGGTGAGGATTCCGCAGCCATTTCGGCTCATGTTAGCTGGCTCGCGGGAGGTCCTCGCGTCGGTGCGCGCATGCAGCATGCGCTCTGGCGCGCGCCAGAGGCTGTGGACTCCGCCGCGGGCGGCAGGCGCTGGGCCGTAGCTTCTGCGCGGACGCTCGCCCGCCGCCTGCGCAGGCAGCGCAGGGATGAGCGCGGGCGCAACCGCTCGGAGGTCCTGGCATGGCGGGCCACGGACGGCGATGCGCACGGCCCCGGCCATGCATGGGCAGCTGGCCGGCGCGGCGGGGCGACATCATCCGACGAGGGGGCCCGTCGCCAGCTCGGCGGGGGGCGCGCGGAGCTGTCCGCATGCGGTGGGACTCTCGGAGCTTTGGCCACGGGGCGCGGCATGCGCCGCCTCCCGCCTTCTGATCTCCTCCCTCCCCCCGCCCCTCCTCCCACTGGGTTGCTGCAGCTTGCTTGAATGTGGAGCGATGGTTAGGACAGGAGGGGGCGGCCGAAGGGAGAGAAACACCGATGCTGCAACCGAAGCGTGCTTCGCTGATGAACCCGTAGCTGTTAGAAACAATTCCCAGCCCTGTTCACGGAGAGAGGAAGAACATGTGCCGGGAGGGGGTGCTGGAGGAATCTGGATCCTGGTCCTGATCCCGGCCCCCTCCCTGGAACTGTCATGCTTGCCGACTGAAGTGTCTGATCGACTTGGCAACGGATGGGCAACATATCGAACTATGCTGGTCTTACTTGGGTCCAGCCTCCGTGTCTCCCCTCCTCCGCTCAAATCCTCCCACACTTCAACCGACACTGGAGCTTGGGGCAGGCAGGGGGGAGGATCAGAGAGGAGGGAGCGTTACGACGACTCCCGCCCTTTATTCTAGGGCGTAGTGAAGCGCTAGACGCGCAGACAGGCTCGCAGCTTTCGGCTAGTCTACGTGCCAAACGTGTCACGTCGTGGCAATCTGAACGTCATTCGCATGACGTTTGAGGGCGGGGTGCAAGAACACCGCACAGTCTGAGCCTACTCTCCCACGTGTTCCCCACACCTTGCCTCATCATCCCTCCTCGATCGTCCTTTCTTTGCTGCTGCAGTTCCCAGCATTCGAGGAAAAAAACGTCTATGTGGGGTAGAGGTTAAAGGTGGCGGGTAAAATCAACGATGAGCGTGCAAGTGGGCACCGAGAGCTTCAATGGAAAGCGGCGTTCTGGCCAAGCCCATGATTCGCCAGCCATCGCAACCGCCCCTGCCGTTACGACGGCCTCTGCGCGCGTTCCGATACACCTCGTACCATCTAGCCGCTCCCCATACAGCAAGCTGCAGGGTCGCCACCAACCGATTCCCACCATTTCTTAGGGATCCAGGATGGGCCTTCAGCTGTTTAGGGATGCCGTTCTGGTGAATGCGCCTCTCGAGGAATGCTCTCTTTTCTCAAGCGCTGGCCCTGGCCTCAGGTTCATGTTGTGGATAATTGCTGGGCTGTGTCCTCAAACTTGACATGCCCGGCCGATGATCCAAACTCGGCTTGAGTCGACACCACCGTGGTAGAGGTACGCCCCTTGCGACGGGTGTTATTATTCCTTTTGCCTGGAGGGCGATGCTCTGGGCCTGGGGGGGCGAGGAATACCGAGTATTGTGTGATGTTTTGGGGCGGGTGGGGAACGGAAACGCCTCAAGAGCGCTGCAATGACTTTCAAGCCTCAGCACGCCAAGCGTGCGTACGGCACAGCTGAAGTGTCGTTTCTCTTCCGTCTCGAAGGTCCCCGTGCATGTGGGGAGGTGACCTTCATTCCGACGTGCCCCGAGGAGGAGGATGAGGAGGAGGAGGAGGAGGAGTAGGAGGGGGAAGGAGGAGGAGGAGGATGGAGGAGGAAGAGGAGGAGGAGGAGGGGGGAGAGGAGGAAGAAGACAAGGAGGAGAAGGAGGAGGAGGAGGAGGAGGAGGGAGAGGAGAAGGAGAAGGAGAAGGAAAAGGAGAAGGAGGAGAGTACTGGCGGATCACGCAGTCTTAAACGTGGGTGGCCGCTGCAATCAAGAAACAGATGTCTGGACAAGGTCTGCGTGTCTGTTGATATGGACCAACTGTGAGTGGGTGCTCTAGGGGGCAAGGTATGTCCCTGTCAGGGAAGTCTCGCCGCACTATAACCAGGAAGTGCGTGCGGGTGAGGGCGTCCCGCATGTGGATGTGGGTGCCCGGGGGGGGGGAGATTTGACCGCCCCGATGGGGCGCAATACATAGAACCAATTTAGTGCTGGCGGTTCTGCTAAGCAAGTGGAGTAATGGAGAGTGCTGGGGCGAGAAAGAAGAAATGACGAAAGGAGACGGATGAGAGAAAGCGCGGGAATCTGGAAAGCAGAAGGGGGGGATGACCCCTCGAATTAAGACATGGATCCCAGGGTAGCCAAGAGTCGAGCAGGATGGAGCAAGGGTAGGAAAAACAACGCAGCGGAAATGAAGATTAGGGATGGGGCCGAGAAGGCTGAGATAACGGGCTGGTAGTCATCATAGGCAGGGGTGGGGGACAGGAAGAAAAGGAGGGGGAGGACAGGGAAGGAGGAGGATTATCCAGAGTGCAGAGCAGGAGTGAGAAAGAGGGGGAAGAACTCCCCCTCTACATGAAGAACGTTGAGGAGAGAGGACGAGCGGCATACGGAATGAGGGTGGGACAAAAAGTGAAGCAAAGTAACTGGAGCCCGCACGTGACCGGAAGTCCTCCTCTTCCTCCTCCTCCTCCACCACTGCCTCCTCTACTCCACGCACGCGTGCTCACTCTGTCTCTTTCTTTATTCCTCCCTCCCTCCCTGTCTCTCTCTCTCTCTCTCTCTCTCTCTCTCTATATTTATATATATATATCTCACTCTCGCTCTCTCTCTCTCTCTCTCTCTCTTTATGTGTTGTTTCTCTCTCTTTCTCTCTCCCTTTCTTCCCGCTCACACTATATATGCACTTATCCTCCTCCTGCTGCTCCTCCATTTGCCACTCCCTGTCCCCCTCCTTGTCCTTCCTCCCCCCCTGCCCGCCCACTCCAGCTCCTCCTTTTTATCCTTCCTCTCCTCTCCTCGTCCTCCTCATACTCCTCCCTCTTCTCCTATTCCTCCTCGCCCTCTTCCTCCTCCTTCACCTCCTCCTCCTCCTCCTCCTCCTCCTCCTCCTCCTCATTCTCCTCCTCCTCACCATCATCAGCATCACCATCACCATCATCAACATCATCATCATCATCATCATCATCATCATCATCATCATCATCATCATCATCGACATCCTCAGCATCACCGTTACCACCGTACTACGAATCACCGTCGTAATCGTCACCGACGCCATCATCATCATCATCATCATCATCAGCAGCAGCAGCATCATCATCACCACCATCATCATAATCATCATCATCAGCAGCAGCATCAGCATCATCATCGTCGTCGTCGCCATCATCATCATCATCATCATCATCATCATCATCATCATCATCATCATCATCATCAGCAGCATCATCGTCATCAGCATGATCATCATCGTCATCAGCATCAGGATCATCAGCATCACCACCATAATCAGCAACAGCATCATCATCGCCTCATCCTCCGCACGCCTCATCCTCCGCCCCCTTTGCGTTACTCTCCTGCCCCTCCGCCTCCTCCTCTTCCTCATGTCCCTCTGTATCCTCCTCGTCATCCTCCTCGTCCTCCTCCTCCTCCGCCCCCCTCTTCCTCCTCGTCCTCTTACTCATCAGCATCATCAACAAAAGCATCGACATCAGCATCAGCATCAGCCTGAGCATGAGCATCGGCATCGTCAGCAGCATCACCACCGACAGCATCACCATCATTCTCTGACCTCCTCCTCCTTTCTATAGCATCCTCCACGCCCTCTTTCACGCCAATGGTATCGATCGCCACATGTTCGCCAGCGATGGCCGAGACACTGGCTCGTTCACAACCCTTTATGAGGAAGGGTAAGATCTTGCCTCTCTGTGCTTCTGAGTTCTCCTGTCCGCGAAGCGCAGAAGGGTCAGAAATGGACTGGGATTGGAACCCATGTCTCTCTCCCGGAGGGATGCGAACAGTCGTGGTGAGCGCAGCTTGTCCTACCGCTTTCGACAGAGCCAGCTTCTGCCGCCCAGTGTGCCTGCTGGTGCGATTGCCCGGTGTCTGTCTTTCACTCCGGCATAGCATGAGCACTCGGGCCGACTCGTGCTGTGACTGTTCGAGAACACGTGGGTGCCGCCACTAGATCTCACCAGCCGATGGCGGCTCGCTCCCCCCCCGTCCCTCTAGTCGCTTCCTTCCTCCATCCCTCTACCCTCCCCAAGCCCTCCCAGCCCCTTCTCCTCCTCCTCCTAATCTCCTTCTGTCCCCTCATCCGCACCCTCCGCCACCACATCCACTGCCTCTTGCGCCCCCTTCTCCTCCACTTCCTCCTTTTTCTCCTCCTCCTAGTCCTCCTCCTCCTCCTCATCATCATCATCTTCCTTCTCCTAGTCCTCCTCCGCCTAGTCCTCCTCCTAGTCCTGCGCCTCATCCGCCTCCTTATCCTCCTTTTCCTCCTCGTCCTCCTCCCCTCCTTCTCTTCTTCCTCCTCCTCCTCCTTCTCGTCCTCTTCCTCCTCCTTCTCCTCCTCCTCCTCATCCTCCTCTTCATCCTCCTCCTTTTCCTCCTCGCCCTCCTCCCCTCATCTCCCTCCTCCTCCTCCTCTTCCTCCTCCTCCTCCTCGTCC